GAGTTAGAATTACGTCAACAGTAGGAATTAGTTCGCGACCCGATTTAACAATTCGCCGTACGTCTTTATGATCCTCCGCCGGATGATGTAGACGGAGACGGTGAATTGAATTAATTTATCAACATTTGTTCAAGTGAGCCTCCGGGAACGGATGGAAGGAAAATGTATAAGGCGGAAGGAGTAGGTGGAGAAGTTAGGAATCGCGAACTTTATACAGCTTGAAATAAAAGGATTCTTTTATTCCGCGATTCTACATTTCACTCATCGTTACCAAGAAAATATGATGATCAGATGCAACGTTAACTGTAGCCTCTCCGCGAGCGCGCGAAAAGTTAAATCACGTTGCGTCGACAGTAGGAATTAGTTCACGACCCCACTTAACAATTCACTCTCTAGTCTGCAGCGATGTAGACGGAGATGGAAAATCGAATTAATACGAATATTTGTTCAAGCAGGGAGGAACGGGTGGAAATGCGAGTGTACGGAGAAGTTAGGGATCGGATTGTCTAACTTAAAATACAGGATTCTTTTATTTCGCGATTCTAACACAATTCACTCGCCGTTTCCGAGGAAATATGATGATTAGATGCAACGTTAACTATACCCTAGAGTGCGCGAGAGTTTAACCGAATTGCGCTGATAGTGGGGGATTAGTTCACAACCTGGCTTAACAATTCTCTGCCCCCTCTCTCCTTCCCCGCACTCCTCCCCCTCCCCTCCTTCGCAGGCCATAATCTTGTATATGGTGTAAACAGAGACGGAAAAGCGAATTAACTTATCAATGTTTGTTCAAGTGCATCTTAGAGAGCGGACGGAAATATACGATTATATAACGGAAGTTAGAGATTGAACTTGTTAATTTAAAATGCAGGATTCTTTTATTCCGCGATTCGACACTCCACTCGCCTCGTTTCCGGAGGAAATATGATGATTAGATGCAACGCTAACTATACCCTGGCGAGCACAAGAGTTAGGCCGAATTGCGCCGACAGTGGGGATTAGTTCGCGAACCGGCTTAACAATTCTCCGTGTCCCTCTCTCGGTCCATGATCCTGTCATGATACAGACGGAGACGGAAAATCGGATTAGATTATCGACGTTGGTTCGAGCGGGCGGCGATAGGGAGTGCGAGGGGGGGGGGGAGGAATCGAAGGGCGAGCGTGGGTGAAGTTAGGAATCGGACTTTCTAACTTAAAATACATCAGGATTCTTCTATTCCGTAACTCCATTTCACTCGCCGTGTTTCCATCGTCGTCCGTACGTCTATCTAATAATGACCAAGTTACCTCATCAATTTATGCATATGGGATATGCGCGAAAATGGAGTTTGTCGAAGTTTTATATTCTTCACGAGTGATATCTTTCCCTTTTTCTCCAGGGAGACAGAGAGAGGAAGGGAGGGAGGGAGAGAGGGAGAGAGAGAGAGAGAGAGAGAGAGAGAGAGAGGAATAGGAAGAAAGAGGAATGATAAAATCTAAAGTTCTCTTTTTATTGCGATCGTCCGATTCAACGGTGCTCTATAAAATTTATTTTCTTAATATTGACGACGCGTTATTCCATTAAAACCACCGCGCGCGAGTGGTTTTCGTGAAAGGCAGACGGCTAACGCTCTTCTTTTCTCTTTTTCCAATCGAAAAATCTTTTTCTTTTCTCTCTCTCCGCGTAAAACTCGGCGGAAAACGCGAGTGCACTTTCTTGCACTCACCTCGCGGTGTCAATCCAACTGCCGATTTCCATTCCGCGTCCCGATAAATTCATGCTTCTCACGGATCTGTCTGCAAATAGCAATTCCGATACCGATACCGTTACACCCCCCCCCTCCTCCCGGTGGGTAGCGACACCGTCCAAAAGGGCTTATGTAAGTAACGGGCACTTTATATGTCAAAGGTGTTTGCAACGTAATTTTTCCTATAAATTCTTCCCGCTCACGGTTTTCCGCGCGCGTGGGGTAAAACCACAGCGACGACAATTGCAAATTGTAATTCTATTTGTACATGTCTTTCTGTGCGAGTTTCCCCGGCAGCAGCGTCTCCTTATTTACGTTACTTCCTCTTAACAGCTGTTTTTATTGGCACTTACCGGATGTCTGATAACAAACTGTTGCACTTCCCGACTACTCAGGCAGGTATCACCTGCGAACTTTTCCCTCGCTATACGTGACTAAACCCTTTAAAAAGTATCCCCTAGCCCCTTCCCGTGCCCCCATCCACTCGCGTAAAAAAGCGAGAGAACTTTTTCGCCGTATATATATATGTGTGTATTTAGCCGCGCAACGTTCCATCTCGATTGCGTGTCGAAAAAGTCGCGCACGGCGCGGACACGATCGATTCCGCAAACGGCAAATAATGACGGCTCTTTTTCTCACGTAGCGATGCATTGTTTGACCATATCGCGCGTGTAGCGCATTCGATAGCTCGCCGTGACATCGTTTGGGGACACCGATAGAAGCGGTAGACGCTGATCGATCCCATTTTTCAAACATCGGATGCAAATATTACGTTTTTATTACGAATTCTAAACGTAATCAACGACTGTAATAAACGCAACGATTTGATTAGTGAAAACGGTTTTTAGAAAACTGTAAAAGGAAGTAATAAATTGTAAAATTATTAGCTCTCGAAACTCCTGTTATTATCGCTAATTTTTCCCTGGTCGAAATTAAATATCCTAGAAAAGCACATTTAACTTCTAAAGCTAACTAAATGGGATCGTTTAAGATGCGTCGGTCAAAAAAAAAAAAATTCGCTCTGATTCGATTCGCATTCGATCGAAAATTCGAGTCACGCCGCCTGACGAGAGCTCGAATTACCCGTGCCGTAGATTTTTCCGAAAATCCCGCGAACCAAGCATTTCGGGCTCTCACTTGTCTGGGTGGCGCGTGCCTCGCACGCTATGTACATGCCGACATTGTGTCGACAAGCTATTTTGAGGGTGGGAGGATGCGGGCACGAGATATGAGGTGCAGTCGCATTCCCGTCGGGTGTATAGAATTTTAATTTTCAATATCGGTCGACCGCGCGCACAGCATCGGTTTACACCGCACGCTCCGCCGTGCCACGGGGCTCCACCCCCCGTTGAACACCGCGGTTCTCACGGCAGGAGGACATTCATCTCGTCAACATTTCCGGGGGTTGGCGTGTATTTACGAGTACTTACGGTTGTTCCGCGTCCCACTTCTTCGAGGGAGAAACCTAGGTAGGTACTGTTAGACCGATTCGGCTTGCAAGACTCGGAAAGAGCGTTATTAACACGTCGAACGTTACTCACGGAACGTTAAGCTCGTAGTTGGCGATTTATAGATGAACGTTACTTATTTACCAATTCGATTTCTGTAAGAGAAAAGTGAAAATTTTATTGTAAATTTTTGATGAAGAATAAATGTAATCAAGTATTAATTTAACTTGCATATCTATTAAAATAACGTGCTGACATAAAAGTAGTCTCGGGGACAAAGTTGCTTAATGAAACAATGACAAACAACGTTATTAACACGGCTGCCTAATTAGTGTTATATACATCGTGTACACTACAATAGAATTTTTATGATTATAAAAATACAATAGAATTTTTATAATTATATATGCCTATAAGTCATAAATAAAATTGTGAGTAAAATGATCATATTATGACTAATAAATATGAGATATTCTCATAACGCGAACGTGTTGAACAGTGCACTTTTTACTTTACACTAATTATTTCAATTAATTTTTAAAATCCAGTTATTTAAAATTTTGTTTCAAAATTTTCATTCAAACGATTTTTTCGATAGCGTACGGCTACCTGCAGCAACCACCAGGGTCCCACTGAAAGATCAGATAGTGAATGATTATCATCGTATTCAATATGTAAATTGTCGATTTTCATAACGAAGTAGAGTGGAGTTGATCGTCAATTACGGGCGCACTCATGTATAAATCTGTTCGCGTATTCGAGCCAGTTAAATGCTCGAAAGAACTGCTGCTGCTGCTGTACCGCGAAAACGCTCCAAGCTTTCCGCGCGATTTCACATGGCCAGCTTGAGAAAAGCTTGCGAAGAGGTCAAAGAGGTCGCGTGATCGAACGATCGGTATCCAACGGCGCGGCACGGCGCCTTGTCCGTGACATAAATTTACTTCGCGCCGCGACGACGACGACTAAAAGACATTCATCCCGCCGCCCGATACGTCGTTACGTCATATCGCACGGGGAGAAACTTACCGCGATCAATAGACACTTCTGTACACGGCGCCGGAAAATTAAGCCGGCCGCAAAGTTTTGCATTATGGAAAGTTTTCCCTTATCGGTCGAACGGTCGACGGCAGCCCTTTTGTGAAAACCTTCGCTCGCCGGGAGGGGGGAAGAGGGGAGGAAGAGGAACGGCGGGCGGGACGTTATTACGCTCTCTCGCCTCTTTCTTTCCTCCGGGGTTACCTAGATAAATATACCGGTGTACATTATTGGGGGTGGCGGAGCGTCTCGGAGAGATTGAAGGTGAGAATTTACATCTCCATCCTCCCCCCCCGTTTCCACTCTCTTCCCCTATCTACGATGCACTCGAGAGATTTACCCGGCAGTTATTCAGCCTAAGAAATTTAGCGGAGACAAGCGCACGGTATATCTTCACGATTTTCGTGGCACTCTCGGATGCGTTTCGAGAGGAAGAAATGAGAAATTTAGTCGCGTCGCAAAGTTTTTCAACTGTGCAAAGATAAAAGCATCTGAGTCACAAACAACGAAAAAGAAAAAAAAACGCATACATATCTAACGCGTGCGATGGAAATAAAAGTAATATCAAAGCGCAAATTGAATTTTAAAAATGTAATGCTGTCGTTTAACTGGTGAATAACGATAGCAATCGTAAAGTTATTTAGCATCGAGAATAGATCATAATTAATTTCCGCGAAAAAATTTTATCCCTTCAGAAATTTTTCGTCGCTTTAATGATAATTATATTTAAAGAACGACTTTTAAAATGATACGATGTCATATTTTAATATAAAAATGTAATATACTTCAACGGATTTTAATCATTCTATATGCATTTATTTGCAATTAATACCGGCATACATATTTATATGTATTGTATAAATGCACAGCGCATTTTATGGCATCTCCCCTCAAAGAACAATTATCCGATTTTAATTTATCTACATAAAAAAATAAAGCGCCAACAACACATATTAAAAACATGTTTTCCAGCGAATAAATTTAAGACATTAATTAAAAATGTCATTGATCCTATAAAAAATATGCATCCTACAATCTAAAAAGAATTGTCTATGACAAAACTACTCACTTTTGTTACGCGTTTTTGCTCGCTTATGTAATTTGTGCATTTCCTATACAGGCTTAAAATTCTCACAGAAAAGATATGTATATTATTCAATGTGATTATATAGCTCAATGACTAATAAACTATATAAAATTGAAAGTATATATATATATATAGTAGCTTTACCGTTACATGGTAGTCTACAGAGACAGTTTTGTAATGAACATTTCCTTTTGTAATAGAACATATATATGAATATTTTCTATAGAATGTTTGCAATAGACTGCTTTCAATAGAATGTTTTCAATAGAACCGTATAGAACAGATCTTGCATATGTTTGGTGAGGAATATGTCACTTTCCTATATTATCCTAAATCGCACAAGTTCGCCTCTCTCTATTTTCTCTACTTTTATGTCATATTACCTGGTTGCAAAAGTACATGTAAATGTCTACTTTATATACGGACAGTATTACAATTTATCGCAGCTAAGAATGTTGTATCGTTATGGGCGGAGATGGCGGGAGTAAAAGTGCTTAAAAATCTTCATAATCCCAGAAAAATACGCCTTGACGATAGACACATCAATGACAGTTCGCATAACTGTCACAGAATATCTGTACTAATATTTAACTAAACGTGGTTTCGACAGGTACGAAGTTTCATATCTTATTAGGCTCTCTAGAAAGACTCTCTGAAAGGAAAGGAAACATACATATATATGGCACGTATACTTTCAGCGCAGACGATTAGTCGTCGAAATCGTATATTTGGTGAGATTTCCAACCAAGTGTCTGAATACACCTAAAACAAAATTGCACCAAGGCAAATAATCAAGATGCGGCAAAGTGCTGAAAATTACAGTTAAAACGGAGCGGCCATACAATTTTTTTTTCATATAATGAAACATTGAAATCACGTTTGCTACTTAAATTATAAATAAATATAGTTATTTATGATTTAAATTATAAAAAATATAAAAATATAAAATACGTTTAAATAAAAAAAATACCACGTACTTTTTTGCAGATAGCATAAATCCTTTTGGTCCACACGTAAATACGCATCCCTCTGGTGAACACTCGCCAATCAATTCTTTCAATAATTCATCGGATACTGTACCGCGTCTACCCTCCCATTTATCTCCAGCTTGTGAAAGGATATGTGTAATTTTGAACCTAACGAACAAATATGAAATATTAGTAGTCTCCAGTTCGATAAAATCTCTTTTTATTTTCGGAGTAACAGATGTTACGTTATCTTATATCGATTCATAATGAATACAATTTTTTACGTATGACATCATTATCTATCATGTCGATATCATGTATCCACGCGCGCGCCCTAATATTTTACCCATTTCTTCATGCATAAATTGGTATAATAATGACACATTTTAAACGCAAACATAATTTCTCCTTGTTAAAATTTAAATCATATGTACATTTTCACGCGCGTGTACTTACTTCTTCTCTGCGGATACTTTTTCAAGCTGCGCTACGTAAAACATATTGTCTTCATCCTTATTGAAATTTAGAAGATTGATTAATTTTCTGAAAAAGATTTTAAATTAATTAAAGATAACAGAAATACAAACAGAAATAAATGTGTTATAATATATTAATCAAATTAATCTATTGTTGACATCATGGTTTTTTTTGTTTTTTTTATTTCGTATTATTTTTTTTATTTCGTATTATTTTCACGTTTAAGGATAAAATACGGTTCTCAAACGAAATATGCTAATACTTACACACTGCGCCTCGCTAAAGCTCGCTGAATTATTCCTAACATCGCGGTTAAACCCGTTCCACCTGCCAGCATGTGAATAATAGGAAACCGATCGAAAGATTCGGTTACAAAGGCACCTAAACCATTGCTCATCATAAAGGTTTGGCCAGGTTGTAATTTGGTGATGGACGGACTAAGTGCGCCATTTGGGTATCGCTTTATCATCAAGCAAATGCAATCAGGCTTGTAATTTGGCGCCATATCTTCGGGATGAAGGCACGGTGGGACAGGCGTATACAACCTTGATATTTCCATTCCTGCGGCAAACATACAAAAATGTTAGCATATTCTTGATATCAGCATATTCTTGATATTACATTTTTACAAACATAAAAATATATTTAATACAAATGTGCCATATAGATATATTGATTTTAAAATTCCATTTATTGATAAAATTTGTAAACTCGTTTTATCAATAAAAAAGTTAAATATTTAAAAAGCTTAAAATATGTCAAAAGTTAAATATTTAAATATATTGATAAGAATAAATATTTTTTTTAAAGCAGAGATCTACCACTTACCCATTATATTCATTTTGACTTCTATATGTCTACCAACGGGAATTAATTCTAGAAAATCTTTCGCACGTAAAACTAACAAATTAACTAGTTTGCAAAGAGGTGTGTTACTGAGTACTTCGTACTCTGTATACGTGCGTTTATTTGTGCTTGACTCCTGCAATAGCGTATGATTTCCCTGAGATTTCCAAATATCTTTAAGCTTCTTTGTAAACGTAAAGTCTACCTGCAACATATAGATTTGTTGAGTTTACGAAACACGCGCTATGTGAAAAATGTACATAACTATTATATAAGTTAATTCAATAGTTTACCTGCATTGTATCGAAATCTCTTTTACACACTGGCGGCCATTCCACGTCTGCGATTAATTCGAGCTCGTGGATGATAATGTGCTTTTCAAAGATTAGCCTGAAGATGATTTTCGAGCCACTCAACCTTTGTAATCGGTAATATATTCCCGGGTAGTCGCGTGCGCCTTGATAGAAGAGTGTAATAGAATTAGATGTTTGCCGCCAATCCATACTCACATTCGGTGAATCCGACGAGTTTCCATCAACTGTCTTTTGTGCTGAAACAATAAAAATTTGAATTTAAATCGAAGAAGTCGAATAAAAATTTGCTCTAACCTACACTTTATTAAATGCACGATTGAATAAAATTTAATATTTGTCATTAATCACGCAACTATTCATATCTAATTGTAAATCATTAATTTAATTAATATGATAACAATAAATTCAATAGGTTAAAGGAATCATTTTGTGTTTATTAAATAAAATAATTGAAAAAAATATATATATATTTTATAAATATTCATAAATGATTGTACTTTAGAAATTAATAGATTTTTGACATTTATCAATTTATAGAAAAGCGTCTCACTCATATTACTTGCGAATAATACAAGCTTATACACAACTTCTGTAATGAGCCAATACCATCTACCGATTTATTAATCCAATACTGCTTCTCTAAATATAGATGACCTAGAAAACAATACGGTGCAACTGCTACAATGGGCACTCACCAGTGGAACGTTTGTTTCGACTCAGCGTCACGGGCAAACAGTTGTTCGTATCCGATTTTTCTGTTATAGAGGAAGTGCTCGACGCGGAGGAAGTACCACGACTTAATCTGCCTACGACGCATTTTTGCAAAATGCTCTGATAATTCACCCAAGCGTGCACCTGGAATTAACGATCTACGGGTACATAAAAATAATTACCGCTTAGCGAGACAGTATAAGAATATAAAGCGTGAGATGCGGAAGTGATGGCTCTTACGTTTTCGAATAACTTCGTGGCGTCTTTTCCGATGCCTCTCATCAATTCGTCGACTCCACCCGGATGAAAATCCATATAACGCGTAACATTGAATACCACCCCTGCAATTAAAATCAAATGCAAAAATTAGAATTCAAACTAAGCGATAGATTTGTGGCAAAACAAATTAATTTTATATATATATATATATATATATATATATATATATAAAAGTCAGTAAGTGACAAAAAATTAATTACATTAGCAATCAAAATGTTATTGATTATTGAGTACTTAAATAAATCTGATTAAACCATTTAATATTCTTTACGTATAGTTAAACATTTTATATATTAAATAACATTATAACCATAAGTGAACGACATATTGCTGACGGTACATTAAATGTTTCACAAGTTCTTGTCGAGGGCAAAGAGAGTCTTCTTCTAGCGGGCATAAAGTACAGAAATAAACAAACCTCGGATTGCGATCCAAGCGTCGTTTTGCTTGTTATGATTAGCAAGCTCAGATAACGTTACGACTTGTGGTTCACCAGCGACTCCAGTTAAGTCTACTCCCGAATTACCCAGACGAATCCAATCCATCAAACTGTGCCCCGGTGCTAAGGCAGTTTTATTCCGTGGGTTTCCTGCGGAAAAGAAAACAAAATTAGAAATAGAAATTTATTGCTATTTTTATTATATTTTCTTTTTCTAAATTTTAGTAAATTACTAGAGATATACTCTCTAAATTTTCTAGAGTGAATCTCACTCCAAAAGAGTGAAATCTCACTCCAAAAGAGTGAAATCTCTCTCCAAAAGAGCGAAAATACTGTCACTTGGCCACTTGAGTGGCAGTATTTTCACACCTTAGAGTGAAATTTCACTTCAAAAAATTTAGAGAGTATAAAAGAAATATTACACTCGTATCTCAAAGTTATTAAGTTATTATAAAACTCACTTAATTGTTCATATAATTCAATTTTGTTATTTATAATTAATTATTCACAATCAATTATAATGCTTTTACTATTTCAATTATATCTCATAAATTCCTAACATTTTAAAAATCTTTCTTTAAATCTACGAACATTAACATTTTTTCACATTTTTTAAAGCAAAATTGTAACAACATTTTTAACTCTTGAAAACCTGCTCCTTCTATTGACGTCTTCATTCGATTTATGCATTACCGTACAAATTAGTGGTCGAGAACATAAGGGCGCAATTTATCTACAGTGTACACGTGCGGGTGCATGTAAACGCAATCGAGAAAATAGATTAATTGGCAATTACTCTAATTACTAACCGTCCTGGATCTGCAGACCGAGGCTCTGCGGAGATCCATTGCGATCCGCGGCGGAAACCAAAGAAGCGCCGCAGCATCGTGGCATTTTTTCATCGGGACAACAGGAATCGCGGAGACAAGATCATCATTTTTTTTTTGCAGTCGCTTTTTCGTGCAAAACGCGAAACCGATAAAAAGTTCTCACAATGTGACAGTCTGCAGAGTTCGCCTTGATAACGTGGGAAAATTGAGTTTTCTTTAACGCGTTTAACATGAAGAGATAAACAAGACGAAGGAGTAAATAAAGCACGCGAGGTGAACGAGGAGATGCGTTTTACAAAGAGGCGACGAAACGTATTAATAGTACCGTACGCGTTAGAGATGTAATAATGTCACAGATAATATCAATAACGTTGATGACATAATATACATAAAATGTATACTAATATACATGTATATATACATATTGAACAAATTTATATACCGATGGCTATTACCGTTAAAACTAATTAAATCCAATTAAGATATATTCAATTACAAACAACTAGTTAATTTATGAAATGGAAATATCGTGCAAATTTAAATAGATTTCATACAGATACACAGATATCGCGTTCACTACTGGCTGAAAATTTTTAATCCAATATCCGATAGGATGATAATCCAACGCCTGTGTGATATCTTTTATATGCTCTTTCAATTTAATTAAATCATTTTAATTTAATTAATTCATAGCAACATAGTGCTGTTTTTAATTATATTTTTTACTATGCTCGCCCTCTCTTTTTTCTCTTTCTTTCTCGTTTAGTTAAAAGTTTAGTTATATAAAAAATATTCATCGATCTCTTTTGATCATACATCTTTTATGATAATACATTTAGCTTTTTATTTATAACCAATCTACAATTAGAACATAATATTAGCATTGCACATTGAAAACAATTTTATTTCTCAGATGAATTTCAAATAGAATCTATTAGTAAATTTTAATTTCGAGTTTAATTTCACATAAAGCCATGTAACGTTTTGAAAAACAAAAAATGGAACTTAAAGAGATTTTTTATCAAATTTTCACAATAATTTATCCAAACTTCGTCAAAAAATCCATGAAATAATAATCTTTTACATAAGAAATCTTTTAGAAAGAAATAATAATCTTTTAGATAGTGTCTTATGCAGAAATGAACTCAACAGATCATACTAAAAACGCGCTGAATTGACTAGAATCTTAATAAAGAAGCAAGATATAAAGAAAAAGGTGATCCTTCTTCATCTGGTTAAGTTAAATGGTTCCAACTGAGGGTAGCCTGCTTGACTCTCGGGTCACCATCGATTTGTCGTACTAATAATAAAGATACGCGAGGAAAACCCTTAATTATTCAAAATCCATGTGCAATGAGGTAACGCGCGGCTAACGGTGTACCCGAAACGTCCGCTCTCAACGCGAGATATGCATATCCGAAAAAGAATGACAAGGTCATCTACATTATCGAGAAGCAACGGTTCACTGACAATGGCTTCTTAAAACTGGGACGGAAACGCGATGCGACGCGGGGCCTCGTCGGCGAGACGAGAGAAACGCTAGATACCGATGATCTCGTGGTGAAGGACCGGAGGGTACTGCGCTGAAACACGCGGCCGAATATAACCCTGAGACAGGTAGATCAATATAGTAGCGATGGACGACGCTCAGCTCAACACGCAGGATCTCTCGCCAGTCGGAGCGCGCTTCTCCGCGTATCAAGATCAATGGCAGAGTAGTTCAGTAACAACGAAAAAAGCTATCGATTATTTGATCGATTAAATAAGTGTGTCATTCGATTGAATTAGTAAAACTATCTCGGATGCGGTGATACAAATCGTGAATAAAAAATGAACACCAAAAAAACAGAATTCTTGTGCTGTATATCAGTTTTCAGAATTATTCGATGTAAAAATTTAAAAGTTTAAAAATTTTATATATATGTATATATAATAGATATTTCGAGATATTTCAAGAATTCTATTTCTATCGAAAATTATAAGAGTGCGTATAAAAAAGTATCATCAATTAATTATAATTAATATTTCGCATTTTTTTTACATTCTCTCTAATATCTTTCACGTGTTCTCTTTCGTACAATTTCCTTTGGTTCATGAAATGTGACATAGAATACGACTTATAATACTATCGCTCCTACTTCGATTGAAAGAACATTCAGAAAAATCTTATGTTCTTACCGGTAGCAGATCCGGACGATGGCATTGTCGTAGTTTTTGCTTTCGCTTGCTCGCTTGGATTCGGCTTAATGACACCAGTAGGTAACACTAAGGTATTCTTGGCCAATAGACTCGCAGGCGAAGACGTTTTCACGTCCACTTTCTTCATTTTGTCCTGTATATCGTCGGTGTCATAACTATGACATTTATCTTTTCCATTCTTATCTCTCGATTGGGGCCCCGAAGTCCGATCGTTCTTCTTCGTTGACTCCATCAGTTTCTTTTTGAATGTGGAAAGTCCGAGAAAGTAAAAGCGCTATGTGCTTCGTCAGGTACGTCCCGGTAAAGACCCCATGGTTTACGTGGGTCGAACTCTGTCACACACAATTAAAGCAAATAATTACTTTGACGAAATAATCATTGAGGAAAATTTAATAACTCTTCAAAACGATCATTAATAGTTTAACGTTATTCATTAATAATTTAATAAACAAAATTATAATTGCAACTGCATATTATTACTCGTATATAGTGGTGTCAAAATTAACAGCGATAATTTTGCGATTTAAAAGTATCGAAACTTTCTTACGGATTAATTATATTAATCATATTTTTAAATATTGTAAATATTTTGACACAAGATCAAATTTTTAAAATTGTAATTAATCATTGTTAGATTAGATATCGATTAAATATAGATTGCACTACCCCTTTAATTTTTTTTTATGGTGAAATTATTTTTGCACGTATGTCTTCTAAAATCGAAAATTCGTCAAAAATATAAAAACTTGTGCATTGCATACGGGTGATCATCATCACCCGTTTTTGCATTGCATGGTTCGCAAATCTAGAAAGCGAAACGCATTAGAACACGAGCACTCGCTCTCAATTACTTTCTCCACATACACTTTCTCTTTTTTGATTGCCCTCGACAAATATACTAGACACTCAACCACGTGCAAGGATGTGCATAACGTTAGATTTATTAGCTAAAAAATAGGAAAGAAAGTTTAAAGAATTCTAGTATTTATAGATAAAATTATAAAAGCGTCTAACTTTATTTTTATCTATGTTAAAAATAAACAGGATTATATCAATTAAAAAATTATGAATCTTAGGTCCCAACATTTTCTTATATTGTTAAAGCTATTGTATTCCAAATAAAGTATATTTTCCATAGAAAATATTATTATAAATTAATAATTTCGGATATTAAGATATTTCTACGATTTCGATATTTGTGTTTCCTTCGCTTAAAAAGAGAAATAAATATAAAACTGAACAAAAAATATTAGAGAATAGCCAATATGTATATCAACGATTACATTAAAAAAATGTAGATTCTAAAAGTACTTTTTACAGGATTAACTTTTAACTTTTAGGATTAAATTTTAACGGAACATAAAATTATGTGCATAAATAATATTCTCTCGTTAAAAAGTGCTCTCTTTAATCTTGTCCTGCTTTCACTCATACTTATACATTATTCCAAACTACAAAGAGATAAAAAGATAAAAATCATTTTGGCGAAAAAATAAAACAAAATCACAAATTATTTATTAAAATTAAGAAAAAATCTGTAATTTATTTCACCCTCAAGACTGCGTAATAAATAAGCAAGAGAGAATTTCAGAAAAAATTAAATTAAGAATAAATATTCCAATGTTTGTTTTCCGTACAGCAAAGGCACATCGAGCTTTAAGTACTCAAGAAATAGGAGAATAGAATAGGAGAATAATCATGCTCAAAGTACTTTATTACGTAAAAGCCGATTAAAAAACGATAAGACTTTGATTTCGTTCGTGACCTATGAAAGATCTTAGAGTGACTCTGCTGCTGATACAGGGGAATAGTAATTGCGCAGATCGTTAAACATTCTTTGTCGAGTGATTAGGAAGCGAGTGGCTGCTACGTACGACATTCGGTATTCTACGTCAATGGAGAGCGAGCTTAAGCGCGCGAGCTTTCCTACAACAGGCGATTCCTGGACAACTTGGACACAATTTTAATTTTTAACCGAGGTATCCCGCATATCTTATTTATTTAAAACGCTTGTATCATACACATTTAAAAAAAATGACTATAATTTAAAATAAGAAGATAGAATATTGTTAGACTCATTCTCAGGATAGTATTGATTTTGCTTATCCGTTGTTATATTTATGGACCTCTCAATATCAGTCTCATGAGCCTTACGGACGTGCCCTGACAGCTTTTTTTTCTCATGAGTAAGCAGTCAAGCAAGTGTTGTTTATATTGGAACAGGTCTTTCAACTAAGTTCAATCATGGACTCCCTTGACATGTGCGAATATCCGTGAAGTAATTTGCACTTGAAATATTTGCACGGTAATAAAAGCCAGTTCATAAAAATAATATTTATTAATATTTCCAAAAAGTAGTAAGTTTTCAATTTTTTTTAAGAAAAGAGAATATTTTTTTAATTCCTTATGTATATAATAAATAATAATAATAAATTGATTATAAATTGATTATGTATATAATATATAATAAATAATAATAATAAATTGATAAAATAAATGTATAAAAAATTTATATATTTTTTTATATAAATAATACACAAAATTCTGACTTTTGTACTGCAAAATAAAAAAGAAAAATATTTTTAACGTATTATCTTTGAAATACGTAAATATACACTTGCAAGATTGTATAATCTTATCCTTCTATCAACAAAAGTAATAACAGCTGATAAATTAGTGATAAATTGTTTCATTGTTAGAAATCCAATCACAGTAATACTATTGTCTTTATGGCTTTATCTTTAAATATATATATCACATAACATATATATACAATTAAAAAATATATATGTATACATAATATATAATATATATAATATATTCTTTTATACATATTATTATATATTACATTTACTATATTATAAAGTAAAATATAAATAAAATACAAAATATTAAAAACAAATATAATACAACTTCAACGTGATATGGATTCTAATTCCAGTAAATTCAATTTTTTCTGGAAAGTATCTCTCTTACGTTAATTTTCATTTTGAAGTTATAGCGGATGAATTTTTGAGGATTATTTTTACGCGACTACAGCATCGGGACTCACCGGAATTATATTTATATATTTCAACCCTTGTTCGCGGCACGTGAAACATGCGAGCTGTCCCGGATTAGGTTATTTGTCCATCGAACCCCGACGATCTATGTACGCGACAATCGCCAAGAGAGGCTGAGGACGATCAACATCCGACGTGCGGAAGCACGATACGATTTGTTTATCACTTCGAACACACGCGTGCGCTTCGCCGAAAAGGTTAAACGGCTTTAGCAAAATCGCTCGTGGCCGTGCCTAGGACCGCGATCACGTTTTGGAGGTTAGGTTCTCTGTATGCTCCGTGGCTACGTATTATTATATTCAGTGTCCCCGTGGCCTCCGTGCTCCGTTCAGCTGCTCCGTCTCGCGGCCAACTTCAGGAGCGTTTCTCTCGCGGCAAGGCCGTATCCAACCGTATGTATTGTACATACAATTTATAATTGAATTTAACGACATACATACATAACTTAATGGCATAAATAATTCAACTGGTTTCTTACTTTTTCTCACAAATTTTTTGTTGTTGAACTTACTTCTAAGGCTAACGAGTGACTTGCAATAGTAGCGCTTATGACTCAGAAAATATAATGACAAGAAAAATAATGACAGTCTGTTATGATAATTCTCTCTATGACGTTTATTTTATTTATTTCTGATATTTATCTTTAAACAGAATTATTTCTATCTATAATTCCTATTTGCAGCTAAATTATTATTAGCTCTGCGGACCAATATAGATATTTTTTTATGTTCAATAATTAAAATTTTAAAGTGAGTCACATGAAAAGTATAAAATATAAATTAAATGTGTTACATAAGAAAGAAATATAGCAATTTTCTTACACACTTATTGAAACGCACAAAATGATATTTGTATATAGTTATTTTTATGCACTTTGTGATACATATATTCTACGCTGTAATAGACTTTTAGTTAATTTAAATTAATTTTTGTTTTGGCGGTGAAGCGTCGTTCGTTGCGAGAGATATTTTATATAAATTAAATCGAAGGGATATTTTATATTTAATGATCATAACGTATCTCAAATTTTGTCTACATTTCCCCGCCGTGGAAAGTTCCCTGAAACCGGCCAGTTCCGGAATCTGTTCATTGAAAATTCATTGAAATCGCAGAGAGCACCATCCCCCCGAGTACACCCCGGGGTGCGAGATCGAGGGGACAGAATCCGAGACCCGCTCCTGCGACCCGCCGAGCCCCGCTCTCATCATCCCGCGCTCGCCGCCCGCTAGATTCGCGACAGATCGGAGCGGTTCGGGCGGGAGCCGAGCGGGATCCGACTCCACTCGCAACACCGGAGCGAAGTGAGTCGTGCCGCGCGTCGTCGCGGCCGCACACAGAGAACGGCGGCGGTGGTGGTGGATCGTGTGTTCGTGTCGGCATCGGTCGGCGTGTGTCGTTCCGTCTGCGCGAAAAGCGGAGCCGCAATCGCTTGCAAGCCGGCCACACTCGCAATCGTCCTCGTCGACGACGCTCGGTGCACGGAAAAATCGGCGAACGCGAGTCCTCGAGTCGAACACGAAAGGGGAGGAAGAGACGGACGCGAAGAGAGCGAGAGAGAGAGAAAGGGTGCGAGAAAGAGCGAGAGAGAGGAAGAAAAAGGTACAAGCAGAATCCCGTGTGAGGCATCGCCGATGACTCCTGGTTTAAATCGCTCGCCCATCCCGGTGAGTACTCCCACTGCGTGATCCGCCCCGTGTGTTACTTACGGAAGGGGGGAGGGGGAGAGACCGGATCGTCTCTCTCTCTCCTTCTGCCGACGACGTGCTGGCTGACGCGGCACACCGGTCAATCTCCATTTGTGTAAGCGCGTTTCGCCAGACGACTCGCGCCGAGAGTCGCGCCGGGAGCGGCGCGGATGAAAAATCGACCGCGGATATCGCGGTATCGCGTAGTGAAATCCTGCCGAGAATCGAGACGCGGCACAGCGGTGCGGTGAACTTATACATATATATACTTGCTCGGTTCCTCGTTGTTCCTTCGACACGGAGGGATTAAGTCACGGATGTCGCGTGAAACGGCTCCGAATTTATAAGTAACAAAACATCGTTCGCCGTCCGAGGTGGGATCGGAGACAAAGAGACGGGGCTTCCGGTTGCCGGGATTCCTTCAGCTTGGCACGTCCTGCGAGCGACGCGCGAGATATTTCGCGAGACGGAATTTCGAATTGACGAGGTGCATACAGGTAAAGCGGATACTTCCGGCGAAAGTACAGTTTCGTCGTCGCGAGGAATCTCGCGAAATCGTCGAGTTAACGAGGACGCCAAATTAGGTGAATGTCAACCGCGCTGGTGTGTATGGCTGTAAGCCAAACGATTCTTCCGGTCTAATTCCATTCCGGATTAAAGGAGAAACTTGAGAATTATCAAAATATCAATATTATTGTTCAAAGTGTAGTCTGTTTCCCGCATAGTATTTGAGCTATACGTAAAATTATAGTTGGATGTGTTGTCAAATGAAACCAAAAGAAGAAACTGAATCGAGAAAGGGAGAAGTTAAAAAATTAAACTAAATTAAATTTTCTAAAAAAAAAATTAACTTTAAGAAAAAAATTCATTAAAAATCAACGCACTTTTTGAATCCGCGACAGATGTGTTTTGGATAGTAATCGCGGCCGAAGACTGGAAGGAAAAGTTTAGCGTTAATAGCCTTGGACGAAATCACACATCCGCGTGTCAACGATTGTATTCGACGCGTTGCTTCGCGCTTCACCGCGATGCGCTTCGTGCTTTTTTCCCAACCTTCGTTTTTTTTTTTCTATTCAATAATCTTGGATTAATTAATCCAAGCGTAATTGCCGATTCACCGTTCCTTCCTGTATTATGATATAGTTAGTCGTAAAGATGAATTATTAGTTGGACGATTCGCGCTAACCTTGGGAGGTCGTATTGGACGCCTAGCAGAATTAATTTAGCTTCAATTTAATGATCCTCGATTTTAGTCTCGTGTCATAAATAATAATGGCATTGGTCATAGCGGAAGAGAAGCGATGTCGTCGATAAATGAAAACGATATTTCTATTATTTTATTTCTTTCATTATTACATTAAAACAAACGTATATCTGTATCTATCATGCATTTACATCGAATACATTCATTATCTTTTTGCGACACTTTACGTTAGTTTGCTAAATACCGAGCGATTGCATAAAATAAGCGGAATTAATTACATTACACAACATTAATTATGTACATTTAATACTAGAAATTGTATATTAATTTTTTTATTCTCTGCGTCTGCAGTCTGGTTCCTTTTGTCCAGCTCAAGTTTTTTTTACTGTTCTAGATGTTCAAAAAATTCAATGTTACTTTTTAACATCTCTATTACATTACCAAATAATTTTTTTAAATCAAATGTTAAAACCTTTAATTAATCCACTCTCTCTTTATTCGGCGAAATTTGAGAGTGAAATTTCGCTATGCCAAAAAAGATTCGCATGGAAAAAGATTCGAATTACAAATGGAGGATTAAAAGTTTTAGATAAAATAAAATAATGAAAAAGTTTTTCCATTCATTCACTATCGATAGATGAGTATATACGTGATGTATATATATAATCTCTGTCATACATATTTTAAGTTCACACGTGTGACGGTATCTTTCTATAAGCTATCTCTATAATTATATCCATATGTTGATTGCTCGCGATAAAAATGGTAAGCAATTTATCAAAATTTTTATGTTCACATGATATACATATACACGTTTACATGCTTCGCTTCGTTTTTCCGTCCATCTGAACTATGCAGGAGTCCGATGTATTTTTACATCGTGACATCGCAGATATTAATAATTCATGCTCTAGTAGAACGTATCGTTTTGCAAACTGATCTTTATGTAAATAATATTGTTGATTGCATAATATGTTAAATTATCCTTATCTCTCAATTGTTTCTACATCATAGTGACGGGCCAACACTTTTCAAGTTGCATCTGTTGCCGCGCGTAAAACTTGCAGTGTGCCGCAACAATAAATTTTGCGTTGTTATATATATAAACATATACATTAAATATTTATACATACAATATAACGAATGATTAATATTACAGTTTAGGACACATATACAACAAATGCGCGTTTGTTTTGTTTATTTTCTCAAGTTTCTCGCTGAAGTAGATTAACATAAATCGCATTAACATATATACATTCGTCAATCTAGCGGAGTATTGAATCGGTATCTATCGAAGTAAGATACTATTAAATTCCGCTCGTTTGCTTTATTTCAGTTGTATTATCTTTACTCCTTGTGTTTGTAGCAACTATATAACCTTGTATATCTTGAGTGATTGCATGAAATAGCCTTGTTTAAACCGAGAAGCGATTCGTGCTCACGCGAGCACTCCGCAATGACATTCGAAATGTGACAATAAACCAGATGCGATATACGCAACATATATATTCACAATTCGCAAATATTTTTGAGCGTTCAGAAGCTACGGAAAATCTTTCAATTAATTTCTTGAAACGTGAAAAGATCTCCATCCGATTCGCTACTCTCTGTGCGAAATTTCTACAATTTAATTTAATATATTAAATTAAATTGTAGAACAATCTACAATAGAACAGAATATAATAGAACAGAAGAATCTACAATTTAATTTAATATATTAAATTAAATTGTATACTTATAGTAAATTGCCCATAAAAATGGCGTTAAACATAAATGGTTTACAGAGCTTGATAGAGGTCTTCTGAAAGGAATTAATTAAAAGTTCAAACTTTTCTACCAGACCGCCAGCGGAATAACGAGCGAGCACCATTTATATTAAATTTTGAACTTTCAGTTTAAGCTACTAATTAAATTGCTGTTTGAATTGCTAGGTGAATTTGCACTTTTAAGACCCGACAAGCTTCGCAACTTTTTACTCTTCGACAAATAATGTTGTAATTAAATCGCCGTAAAATGCAAAGACAAAGTTTATCGACATTTCACCGTCGTGACAAAAGCACCCCGGGTCGACTTGTATTACTTGAATTCCGTTATTTGCAAAGCCGCTTAAATTCAAGCGTATTGTTCCGTCAGCCTTGACACGTAATTTCGCGGATTACGTCGTTAATGGTTGTCCATCGGATTAAGTGCGTAAGCATGTACATCGTTCTAGAATTCATGCTCTCAAATCGGTCTGCTTTAGAGGAATATTGATGCAATTTTCCTCTAGCAGCAAGATTCACCCGCGTTTTCATCCTATTATTACGTATTATTTATCGTCGACGTGCGATGATGTCACCAGTTATCGTACACGTGAAATACACAACCCATGCATAACAAAACCACGCGCGATTTTGAAGTATTTATATCCGTTTCTCGCGATACTATATCCAGAGGCCGATATTCAGTGAAATTCCGCTGAGCTGTTTGTTTCAGTACGAAATTTCACTTTTTCGTACATTCGTATATAATGTTATTTTATAAAAGATAAATTTCGATGTTGCTTTTTAAATTTTCTTTTTTAACACAATTTCAAACAAAGCTGTGATTTCAAAGCGACTTATTAAAAAATAATAATGCAGTAATATACTAATATTCTCCTTTAAACGTACTTCTTTAATCCTCATTTCTCTTCCTCTCTTTTCACATTTGTAACTGAATGTGAAACGGCAAAGAATTACTTTCTACTTTTTTTTGTATTTTTATCAACAAATTAACTTATTTATCCATTAAAATGCCTTTTTTTAAAATGAGTTTGTTACAACAATTAAAAACGTAACGTAAATTAACGTAACGCGTTCGTACTGTGTTCAAACAATTTGGACAATCAAAAATTTGAACCATTATTTGTGTTATCAGAGCAGAATCTTTGTGTTAAAAAAGAAACGAATGGGCACGCGATAACTTGTACCGCGCACGTACCTATTCGCGTACGCGATATCGCGAGTCAATTCTCACTGCAGTATGTATTATCTAAGGCGGCATGATGAATCATATTTGCATTCGATCATTACGCACCACGTAATGAATTTCTGAAAAACATTTCTTCGCGCAATCGTCATACATAATCGTATTAATGAAATCGATATAGTGTGGAGAAACAGTCCGTTTTTTTTTTTCGTTTCCGTTGTTTTCGAGTGACGCCGCACATTTACTGCAATTTTTCGGATCACGAAATTAAACCGGTTACCCTCGTGCAACATTTTACAGCCTTCTTTTAGGCCGCTATTTATATTTTAATCAACACGACTGGTTGCAGTATAACTTACGTTACTACATTAGTAGAAATGTTATTTCTTCTCGGTGACTTCTCGAAGACTTAAAGGTGATTTATTTATCACATTGCACGATTTCGCAGTATTACGTTATAAATATTTATATAGGAACAGCACTCGTGGAGATGAAAACAGTTTTTAATGTTAAATCTCGTTTTAATTAATAATATACTTATTATTATTTAAATATGTCGACTAATCGAAATGTACACGCAACGCAGGAAGGTGTTTGTTGTGCTTTTGTCAATGAATGATGCATTTTATAAAAATGCTGTGTACACAATGGACGATTAAATGCATTTAAAATAATTAGAATTGCAGATTTGTAACCTTTTTTTTCTCTTGACAGGTGAATATCAATTGAAGAGCAAACACAAGGCAGAATGCAAACCCGACAAATCCTCGGCGTGTGTCATCGCCTGCTGGAGCTAATTGTGAGAGGAATATTGCTGTTAGTTGCCTTTGTCAGAGGACCGGCACAATCTCAACCACCCATCAAAGATTTAACTCTCCTGCATAGCGCAACCACTTTAGCGTTAAAAATTCGAAACAGACAAGTAAGTTTTTATCCTGTGAAAAACACCCTCTGCCGAATTTCTCTGACGTTTAATAATATAAATAAATTTTAACAGCTTGCTTTTGATAAAGCTCCTACCGGTTATCTAATCGTCGATGTTTTTACAATCCGTCGTTTTGAATTATCTGATAACGAAATGAAGTTTTATTTGCGAATTAATCGATGTTTAATAGCATTGTAATGCGTTTATCTTAAACCTAATAGATAAGAAATTGTAACAACTCGCATGGAGAAACTTATATTTTCTTTTTCATTCTATTAATCGTTTCTTCGAAGTGGAAAAGAATTGGATCTGCGCGTCGCTATAAATATGTTAATAAAATGACCAGGATAAGCCTTATTAACTATCTAGACGACGCACTTCCGCCTGTGTCGGTTAAGTTGATCACGTAACTGCTTATTATTAACAGTTAACTTCGGAAGATGTGGTATCTTCGTATATAGAAAGAATAAAGGAAATTCAACCGATACTCAACTGTGTGGTCGCCAATCGCTTTGAGAAAGCTCTGAAAGAGGCGAGAAAATGCGACGAGCTATTAAAATCTCCGGACGCTCCGTCCGTGGAGTCTCTGGCCAAGGAGAAACCATTGTTCGGCATACCTTTTACCACCAAGGTACACTTTTGGTTCTTATTTTATTCATTCCTTTAATTCCATTAGAGATGACAGATCGAGCGATTAGTTTCTCGCTTTATGCCTATTAACGTAATTATGTGATAATAATCTGTAATAACTAATGATATGTGTATTATTACATTGCAGGACTGTATCGCGATCGAAAACATGCAGCAAACGGCCGGTCTAGTTGTACGTAAGAACATTGTTATTGATAAAGATGCAGAGGTGATAAGATTATTGAGGTCAGCTGGAGCCATACCTCTGGCACTGACAAATGTTTCAGAATTAGCGATGTGGTGGGAAAGCCATAATTATCTATTCGGTATCACCAAGAATCCCTACAACACAAGGTACAATATATGTTACATCATTATTCGGCATAATATAATATAATATAATAAGTTACACAATATTAATTAAAAACATAATTATTTATTGAAAAAAATGTGCTTGATTGAGAATAAAATCAATTTTACCTTATAATGAGCAACTAAATTATAAAGAATATTATTACTGAGTTTATTTTAATGCTCAATATATATTATTATAAATATGCCATGCGTAGGCAGTAGTGAGCTATGCAATTTCTTCGTAACTTCATCATAATTTAAATTCGAGCGTATCACATAAATTCATATAATGAGATATAAATTTTCAATAAATAAGATTTTAAATTAAAGATTCATTCTACAGGAACTTTTCTTATTTCATCGTTATCCACTTTCAGACATATTGTAGGCGGTTCTTCGGGTGGTGAAGGCTGTTTACAAGCAGCAGCTGGATCACCGTTTGGAATTGGCTCGGATATTGGTGGCTCTATTCGTATACCGTCATTCTTCAATGGAATTTTTGGCCATAAGCCATCTAAGGGTAAGGAAAATTGAGGATTTGAATAGCGTACATATTTCTTGTTATCAATGTGAAAATAATTACATTTTTATTATAGGAGTCGTCTCGAATGATGGCCAGTATCCTAGTGCGCATAGCTTTGACCAAGATCAATTACTCGCTATTGGACCAATGTGTAGATACGCGCAAGATTTGACGTTAATTTTTAAAATTATCGCAGACAAAAATGCTGATTTATTAAAATTAAATCAAAAAGTGGACATTTCGAAGATTAAGGCAAGTTTGTTTAATATTGAAATACTTAATTTTTTCTTCTTGGATATAATCTTACTTTGTATATCGTGCATGCTTTTCCAGCAAAATATCAGAGTTAATAGTTTGTCATACAATAATCAGGGTAAATGATATTTTTTTATGTGAACTTTAGCTCTATTATATGGAGGACGACGGTGGTCAGTATTTAATTTCGCCAGTGGATCCTGAGATAAAAGCCGCTATGAAAAGAGTGGTGAATTATTTCGAGAAAGCGCACAAAGTTAATGCCACGAAATTAAACGTGAAGTTGTTGAAAAAGGGCATTGCCCTTTGGCTGGCGAACATGGCGTGCAAGGACGAGAAAGACTTTTCGTACGAGCTAACTAACAGGAAATACCAACTTAATATCTGGTTGGAATTCATTAAGTGGATGTTGTTTATGAGCAATCACACTTTAGTCGCTCTTATAACTGCCATGTTCGAAAAATTCGGCATAAAACATGGAAGCGAGAAACACGTTCGACTTATGCAACAGAGTAAAGATCTTTATCAGGAATTTAAGGTAATATTGCGCTGTGTTTTTTATGTTGTAGGATTTGATATCAAAATACGCTTCGAATGTCACTGTAGCTATAAAATGTATGAAAACATATGCGATGTTTTATTCCTTAATCATATTCTTTTAGGATATTTTGGGAGAGGACGGTGTGTTTTTGTATCCATCGCATCCAACCGCAGCTCCAATGCACTACGAACCGTTGTGTAAACCCTTCAACTTTTCTTATACTGCAATCATTAATGTGCTAGGCCTACCGGCTACAGCTTGTCCATTAGGTTTAAATAAACAAGGACTTCCCATTGGACTGCAGGTGTGTATTGGTATATTTCTATAATTAAAAAAGTATCTCACTTGTACCTTAAATAATGTTATTTTTAATCATAAATAGGTCGTAGCAGGACTTCATCAGGATCATTTGACTCTCGCTGTTGCGGAAGAATTGGAACGAGGTTTCGGAGGATGGGTGCCACCAACAATAGTAGCTTGACGTCAATACTGTCATAGACAATAATTCTATGGACGAACGACATGATACACATAAAAGCCTCATCTTACCGAACCCTGCCATCTCTCTCTCTCTCTCTTGCAAAGTATTATATTTACATTAAAGATTTTCAAGTACATAAACAACTATCGAGGTAAAGTACAAATTATAAAATTATACACGTGAATAAATACATACGTGAATATGTATATGATAAGTATGTATGATATACACATGAATATATATACATACATATATACATATACTCATTTAATATGCATTTAATATGAAATTTCTTACAATATTTGATATTCCATAAGTTTCATGATGAATATAGTAAGTTTGTATAATATTTATGATGTTGTGATTTTTGCATTTATAAAATTCCAAGAAAACATTTGTATTATATAATATCTAAACAAGAAAGTGTATATGAATTTTGTGACCAGTTGCTTATTAGGACTTCTCGAAATAACGATCAATATTACGACTTTATAATATAGCTAACATAGCTAATTATATTAACAGTATCATCTAATTAAACCTAAAATAAGAGCATCGCGCTGCGCTCTTACACGAGAGAAATAAAAAACTCAATTTTTTAAATAAGACATTAAAAATTGGTATGACAGAAAAAATAGCTCCGTGTGCTAACATTCAACTGTATGTTGCATTGCGCAGAATTTACATACCTCAAGCTTCTATATAGAATTTTCTATTTTCATACGTGATGTACGTGAAATAAAATGGTAGCAGGGTGCTTCTGGTAATATGTGATAACATATTCGACGTTATTTAAGACATGTATTGATGTTGAGAATTTATACATATATTTTATCTATCGAAATAAATTTTTATTATATTATTTCATCACAATTACATCCTCCTCGTATCCGATGTTCTTTTTTTTCAATATTACTGACATGGTGATTAACGTAAAATATTTTATTAATATATAGACGTTTCTCCATAAAGTAAAATAATTTTATAGCTTAATTAATTAAATACTTTTATAATAATCAGTATAACATAAATGAAAGAAGTGTGGATTATAAATTGTCGCGTTTAAAATATATATTTTTAACCTAAATATATAATAATTATCACAACGTAAAAATTGTCATACATTTAGACATAGTGCATAATGAATCACGTCTTAGAGTTCTACGAATTTTCCAATTTGTCTTCATCATAAATAAGTTATATATATATATCGCACGCCCGCAAGAAAAGTGGCACAAGTTATAAATATAAAATTGTTCAGAAAACAGGAAAGAAAATTGTGTATTTTTTTAAATTTTTCATTACACAATATTAAATATAAATTAATTTAGAGCTAATCACACATATTGTTTGTTTCAAGTTCTTTAGAAATACGTATTAATGTTGTTAGTGTTAAATTGTCCCTAAAAACTATTCCTATTTTGATTTATATCATTTTTTTCTTGTGTCATTTTACTTTAGAAAGTATTTGAATTTAACTTGAATCATTTTCCTGATTGAAGACCAATATATACAGAACACAATCTGCACATAATACGAAAAATAATAATTCCAAAAATTTGATTTTTACTTGATTGTTGCTTTTCTTGCGGTGATGTGATATGTATAAAATGCAGATAAGCAAAAAATTTATTGATGAGACAAATAGTCGTTAAAAGAACATGTATTTAACGTCAGTATATGGCTTAAAATACAGCTTATAATAAGCTGAGAAAAACGTATTTTAGTTCGTAGATATCAAAAGCTATGTACGAACTAAAGCTATATGTAAGCCATTTGAAAAAATATAGATTATATTGAAAATATTGATTTTACTCCTAATGAAGTACGAAGTACGAATCTCGATAAGACTGCACTATTTGTAAATGTACATGATATTTGTGTATTTCATGAAACCTCTTATGCTCATTCGTTCTTCAACTCTCATAACTGCAGTTTAAAAGACATTTTGCCAATCGATCATTACAAATTTCAAAACATACCTGAATCCTGTGCTAAAAATATGTGTAAGAATGATCATGAACAGCCCTTGACATTAATTAGATCGTTTTAAAAAGAGCTATCTATATATAATTTGTAAAACAGGTATCACAGTTTCAACTCAATGTCATAATTGTAAAATTAAACGTGCCTAATGCAAGGATCATAACTCTATAGAAGCAAAATATGTCGTGTCCCTTCTTGTAAGCTTCAACGCGAATTTAATATTTTTGCACGTTTTATAAGTACCATTTAAGGATAAAAAAAAGAACGTTCAAGGACTTTTCTGCAGTGCGCTTGTAATACTCACTTCTAATGGTATTTTAAGATCAATATAAAAATTTCACTTCCTGGTTTTATATATCCCAAGAAGGCGGAAATCCGCAACCAGAAAAGCACCGAACCCTAATTATAATCTAAGAAATAATCTACGAAAAAAATCTGTCGCTATCATCGATAAAATTACGATATCCCGAGACTATATATGAACCGTTATCCACAGATTCAACATCGCTTGTAAAAAAGAAAAAAAAAGAAAAGAGTTAACTTCCTCGTTCAGCAGGAAGAGACGGATTTCTGTCAGCAAGCGTTATACAAGTAGCTCTACGGAGATCGACGTTACGACGCTATGAGAGTCGTTTCTTCCGACGGCGTTTCGCTGTTGCCGTTGGCGACGATGAGAGCCTTCCCCTCCAATCTGTTGTCCAGCGAGTTGTCCTTGCTACTCTCGCTGCGCGACCTGCTGCCGGAGATCATCTTGAACTCGGTCAAGTTGTTGTCCGCGTCGAGGAGCGCCGAGTCATTCGCCGCGTCCCTGGCCTGATCCGTTCTATCGTCGGAACGACGACGCGTCACGTCCACGTTTCCGTTCGATGTTTCTTCGTGTAATTGTTCCTTAACGTTATTAACGTTACCCTCGACGTTTCTCGTCGCAAATCCCGTCGTCTCGTTTTGTTTGTTCGACTGCTTATTTATTACATTCAGCTCTACGTCCATCTGCGTCGCCCTGCCCGCGGAAGAGGGCCTCGCGGGATCGTCGGAGTTGTTCAACGACGTTTTGTCCGTGTTCGCCGAGACGTCCGAGCCGTCGCTCCCCCGACGATTTCCGTTCGCGGCTTCCGATCCGTCCCGAAGGCTGGCCGGTTCTTGCGCGTCGACGCGATGACGCTCTTTTCCCTTTTTGGCGGCGGCGAGCTCGGCCTCTTTCATCGCCGAGTGGATGACCGGCTCGGCCCACAGTCCCGGGTTGAAGGCTGGTCCCGTTCCACCGAGCTCCGCCGGCAGGATGTCCGTCGGCAGATGATCGTGAAGCGTGCTGAGATTGTTACCGTGCAGATGAATCTGCGAGGAGAGAGAAACGAGATAACGATCTTTTTTTTTGCGCTCGGCGCTGCATCTGCAGTAATGAGTCTAAACAATAATTTGCAGCCATTTATGCATATTTCCCCCGAAGGTACCGATTTACCGAGACACTCATCTCGCTCTATGTTTTTCTTGCAGATTACGTTGCACGCGGGTAACAGGAATCGATTATGCGCGCGTCGCGTAATATCTCCTGGTATGATAAAAATTAAACTGGACAGAGCAAATCGAATAGCTGAATTGAGCCAAGCCAGTTGATCCGCTATGTTTCCACGCAGATATATAAATAATAAATTTTTGTTACGATAAGTGCCAGTAAAATTTTACAGTTAGATCTTTCGTCGCGCGCACTGAAGCGCATCGATTTATAATAATTAATAATATATTTCAGAAATTTTTATTCTGCACACATGCCTCACCTTATTCCGTGTTTTCTCGTCCAAAAATGGCTTCACCAGAGCTAGAGTCGCCTGGACATAGAACGGCGCCGAGAGGAAGTGTATCGCCTTGAATCGGGCGGGGAATCGCCCACGCAAGGCAGCTATTAGGTTTCGCAGAGCCGCTGCCCCAAGTGCGCCGCCCTGCCGCAATGAGAATCCGCTCCAGTCTACCACGGCGACGAAACCGGATTGCTGAAAAAAAAAAGGTATAGGTCATCGTCAAGCGTTCGGGCGAGATGTAATAATGCCGGCGTGGCAGTGGGCGCCTAGTCTAGACTGGTCGTCTACATTTAGTTGAATGAAACGGTACTAGCTGCTAGTCTGAATCCAAAATGGAGGTTAGGATACGTTATCATTGAGCTGTGAAACCCGAAACCTATATTTTTATATATTAATATTAAACTTACATTTTCATATTACATCTAATATTTTATAACATTGAACTTAAATTGCTTTTTACTCGTGATTATTATTTTTCTATAATTTGGCTCTATATCGAGAATAAGGGAGACATCGACAGTTTTCAAATAAAATAAGCTCTTAAAAAATTCGTTGCTTTAAAATCATAACAAAGGTCGCTTTATATAATAATGCGATAATAGTCAATTTCGTAGGATCAATTAATTTAGGCGATCAATTAATAAATGGTGAGTGTTGCACCTGATTTCGAGGATCTTGAATAAGTATTTCCAGAACTAAGAAGATCGCTCGTTGAACAGACAATGCGGGCACGGCAATAGGATCCCACTGCGACGCTAAAATAACCAGCACGCATCTGCCTTTCCTATATAGATTTATGACAAAACAAAAAAAAAACAATAAATTATAAGATAATTAACTATCACAAAGAAACTTTCGTTGCATCCAGATTATGTTAACGACAATTAAGAAAAATAAGATTTTCGTTTTCCTTCTCAAAAAATTCAAATCAACAAAGATATTTAGATATTAAATAACTCAAGATTAAATAGATCAAGAGATCATTTTTTCGTTCTCGTAAAAAAATATATATATATACCCTTATATTAATTTAATATAAGGGTAAAATATTTATGCACGAAACGAAGCTTCGTTAGTCACGCATTTTCCGGCACGTACGCTGCGCGTGCCCGACAGCGGCGGAAGGGTTAAGAATAAATTAACAGGACTGTATGTCACAAACTAACTTGCCGCAGAAGCAATTCATTGTTCGCGTACCTGTCACGCGCGGGCAGGACACCCGGTATGCCCGCGCGAAGCGCGCGCTGCAACGCCGGGTCCCGGGCGGTGAGATTGCCGAAGATATCCTGGCGGTGCGTTATTTGCGCCTGATAAGCGGCTATCAGGGCCGCCGCCTGCTCGGTGCGGTACTTCCGTGCCAGCAGGAAGCGCGTGATATACTCATCCGTGCAATGCTCTAGGTCTGGAAACAACAGGACGGAGGCCGTTCGTCATTGCGATGCTACCCGTGCGAATGCCGTGAGCGACCGGAAGCAATTCGAATGTGAGTATTCCCCGGAAGTGCGTACGCACGCAGCACGGGCCCAACATACTAATATTCCTCCTTAATGGTCTTATATCGATGACGTTTATCTTTCGCGCGTTTATACGCAATTAAATAAAGGATCACTAACTTCTATTCAAACAGCTGTAGAAATATAGCTGTAATAGAATAGACGGATTTTTATATTGTATCTCTCGTTCGTTTTATCGTTATAAAAGTCGTTCAGAGCGGTACTCGTAATCCGATCTTAAGTATTTAAAGTCGTAAGTACAATCTCGGGAAATTGTACAATTATTAAATAAAATGTTAAGCCCGCTTAACTAGACTTAAGACGATTTTAAATATAAAATTAAATGTAAAATAAAAATTATTTTACTTTACATCAGCATTTTAAATATTCTGTTTAAATTATTAATAAGACAAAGAAATCCGCATTATAATAAATCATTTCGTCGGAAAATTTTTGATAATAGAAAAGATTTTTGAAAGAAAAATTGTACAGTCAAATTTCTCTTAAAAATTACCAGATTTAACGCCAAATGAAGTTACACAGATTTGTGTAAACGTTAAAATTATATTCTCTATGTCTTTGCACGGATGCGATAAATTTTGATTTCTCGGTAGTCGCACGTTTTATTTGGAGGACACAATTCCATTTCTTACCTACATCCGGCATTTGCCGAAGTATAGACCTGACAATCTTAATAGCCAGTTTCTTATCGCGTTTATCGAACCTGCCGCCTTCTTCGTAAATGCTACGGACCAAACCGCTGCTACGACCTCGAGCGGGATCGCACCACATATATTCGCAGTACTCGGCCATTTTGCTCTCTTTTTCGGACACGCGTCAGTGATCTGAAACATTACGATAAATAAAACATTACTTCGTCACAAATTTTATTTCAAAATGGACAATGATATTTTCCTAATATAATATCGATTTTTGACATTCTCGAAGCATTTAACTCAAGATTGATTCAAGAGAAATTTGACGAGTCTCTCATTTGCGAGAATTCATACATAAAAGATTTGTGATTGCGAATGTAAATCTAAAAGCGTATGTTAATTCTGTTGAATTTAATTTAATCGTTAGAGTTTAAATAACAAAATAAATTCGAGGCGAGCACAATCGCCAAAAAAACACGAAAAGACGGGGTTCAATTTCCTTGAAAAAATACACGCGCAGAAACATATGTTGAAACATAAACGGGATAATCAGTTTTTATTTCCGAATCATTAATTGTCACCTATATATAGGTGATATCTGGAGACGGTGTGATTTCATTTTTTTGATTATCAACACGAGAACGCACGTTCGAGCGACGACAGGAGGAGAAACGTGTTCGCTTGTAAAAGCGCGACGCGCTCTGAATCATACGCGGCGCGTTGCGTTCAAGCACGACTGCACACCGGGCAACAAAGAGGATGTGTGTAATGTCCGATGGCTGATTCGCGAAGTGGCTTGTGTACCTAGGAGCCGCTCCCATTGGACAAATAACGCGATTTATCTGGCGAAGCGTAGTTCGCTCGAATTAAGCGATAATTCGCGATCGCGCCTGCCCGACGCTCGGAAGACGATGCGACATAAAACGCTCGGGCGACTCGCGCGTTACTTTAACTGGAGAACAAATCGAATCCGAGGAACATCTAGGTGAAGGCGAAAATAGCGTGAAATAAACAGCGTGAGACTCGATTCGGGGAATTACATCTCGCATTTTCCATCGCGCTGATAGCGACTGCCTCGCGAAGCGCGTTGCCCCAAGGATGATTCACGGAGAGCCGTCCTTGTGTGAAGCGCGTCATGCGAGCGTACCTTCGACCGGTTCGGGGCAATTATTTCGCGAAAGTCTCGCAACGACCTTCGCAACGGACGGACGATCGATCGATTTGCGATCCCTTAATACGGCTTTCCAAGCGGCCGTGCAACACGGCGACGTACGGTCGAATCGATTGCCTTGGGATTGTATGACATTGCGCAGAAATCAGATCATTTGTCGAGATATCGCGGTCGCGACACTCGAGTCGGAGAACGAAGCTGAGAACGTTCGTGTTCCCTCGTATCGGGCGGTGGAAGATTTGATTTGAGTTTATAAAACAAACTGCACGCGATTTTTAATTGTCATTGACGCTAACGAGGCAGCGCGATAAATGGACGAGATTCCAGAGATAAGCCGCGAATGTGATGAATGAAACTGAGAACGATTGATATCCCGACCGGCGAGTCAAGGATTCGGCGGTGTCAGAAACGGTATTCAGGTCTGGTGAGTCAAATAAATCATCAAAAAATTTTTACCCGCGATATCCTGCGGTCTTCCTATCGCAGCGCAGAATCCTTGATGTATCAATTGCAAAAATATTACCATACAAGACCAAACTATTTCCATATATAAATTACGTTAATTATGTTCGATTAATAGATGCCTGATCGAGAAGATAAATATAAATGTAACGAAAAGCAAAAACTGGACTGCGCAAACGTGTCTAATTCATACCGTTACGTCAGATTTATTTCCGTCACTCCGCGTGAAGTTTACCGAACCGATAATTATTGCGACGGCAACGGCGGTATAGAAGTCATGCGTATACCGGCGTGCAAATTGAAAGCGACGACGAAAGAAGAAGAAAAATACAAGTAATTACAGCACGTGTAATTGCAGCAGTCTTGAATAGTTAAGAAAGATTACGAGAGAACGCAATGGACACAAAGGCTTTAGCGAATGCGGGAAGAAAAGTTGACGTAGAAGATAGAAGAAAAGGCGCAAAGTACACCAATACTCACAGTGTATCGGACAGCCTCTTATGCACAAGTCCCGGAAGGAGCAGAGATGACTCTCTGTGCGCTCCTAATCGGGAAGCGTCGCGGTGACGAACACGACGCGAGGACGAAATCAGGCAGTGCACCTGCGCGCCCGAGCGAACTGTGCGCGCAATGAAGAGTTACCTGGACTCGCGCGCGGCGGCCGCGGCGGCGTCGATTCGTTCGAAAGTGTCAGAGCGTTGAGAAACACGAGACGGAGAGCGAGGGATAATAACCACAACGGGATTATACGGTGCGAGAGAGGAAAAAAGAAACGGAACGGAAAGAGTTCGCGAACGGGACAGAGATAGAGAGAGAGAGAGAGAGAGAGATAGCGAAAGAGAGAGGAAAGCCGGTTACCAATACCTAACTTGCCGCTGACTCACCGCTCCGTATTTTTTCTTGCACCCCCGCTATTGTAGTTTCTCGTCCCGAAAAATGAAAGATGACCCGAAAGATCGTCCACGGTCCACCACACGAGCGATATCGCGTGGTGGCTGGCGCACGGCTGGCGCCGTGATTATCGACGAGCGAAGAAACGTCGTCAGGGCGACACGAGTGGGTGGTCTGAGGCTATGTGTATGTACGTGTATGTACTTAGCCACGCGAATCGACTCTCGCAAAACTCATCTCTAGGATTCTAAAATAATGATATTTCTTCAGGATGCAAGTTTTTCGCTTTTTTTTGTAAAAATATTTATTACAGGAAACAATTTTTGGGATATATTTCGAAGATGAATTAGTAAGCGGAGATATGTGTATAAAATATTGTCTGAATGATCAATAGTTATCTTTTATACGTGTATGTGTGTGTAAAGATTTATACTTAGACTTATTCAAAATAATTTATATCTAAATTATTCATATATGCGTATATAATTCATTGTCAGATATTATATACCTAAATTATTTTGGAGAGGGACGCAGATTGTATGCGAATAATTCTGTATCACAAGATTATCTTAATTACTGAAATAATAATTACTGAAACGAATTTTCGAATCATATGCGAACAGTGATGACTGATGGATAAAAATAGGAGTCGATAAAGTATATTATTAAATATTGAATACAGAGACGACTTCTCTTCTTTTATGAAAAATAAATTCATGCGTTTCCGAATTCTTCCGAATTCGCTTATTCTACGTAGTGCATAAAATATTGCATGCGCATAAAAATTTGCATGCTGCATTCGTTGCAAAAATAACACGTCATTAGCAGCGTCCGATCGATCGGCAGGCGCGCAGAAAATTACCAGATGTCCATCGTGAAACATTCATCGCAGTACAATAGCGCGCGAAAAAGATAACAATGCACCGTGTCTCCGCTCCAGAAACGCAGAAGCTTGACGCTTTAGCTTTTCGCCATTCGCCAACTGTACGATGCGCGCATTCCTTTGCATATGTTATTCATTTGCATATGTTATTCCTTTGCGCACTAACGATACGCGTTGCGCAATGTGCAATGCAATGCGGATAAGGAGCGCAAAGTAGATTACGCCGCGTAACGCAAGCTAACGTTCTTAAATCTAAAACCGCTTCGCTATCGTGATACAAATATACTTTGCGCTTCATTCTTACACTGCTTTAATTGTATTCTCGACTAACAGTTGAACGATCACATCGTAATCCATGGCGTTAATCTAAATCTTTCAAGCAGATGAGTTTATATTAAAATTTTGCGCGCGCGCTTCTGTTAGTACACAAAATACATTCATGATTACCATCTCTCTTTTTTGAGTTTTGAAATAGCGAGTAAAGTAAAATTGTGTAATTCGATCAGGAATTTCATTAAAAATTAAACATGTTTCTCGCGCTGCTTCATGAGCAGCGCACGTAGTTATTATACATATCAAATAGTTTTTATATTCCCTTTTAAATCAAGCGACGCGGTCGCACCGTGACGCTAAACTGCATAAAAATGGTACAATTTTACGTGCGATTTTATTTATGCATTTAAAAATAAATTAATAAATATCATGCCTCTAGATTTTGAATTAGCGAACGTAAAATTGTAAAATTTCATTAGGAAGTTTATTAAAAATCAAGCATATTTCTCATTTTCGGAGTAAATCTGCATGCAAGTAATTTATCAAATGACGCGGTAGCGTTGCGACATCAAAGTACACAAAAAACAAATAATTTTGCGTGCGCTTCTCTTCATATACTTGAAAATAAATTAATAACTATCATCCAGATTGCTCAATTTGGAAATAGCGAAAATGCTGGCGTAAAATTGTGGAATTGGATTGAGAGAGGTACAAAAAATTAAGCATGTTTCTCGCGTTGCTTCAAAACTAAAGACTTCATTATTGGCGTCTATCTATAGGCACGCGATACGTACGTGGTATGTATTCAAGTATATGCATGACTCAACTTGTGCGCCAGTCGCCAGTTGCAAAATCTCGACTCTTCTCACAATCATCAGTATACCATCAAACCGCTTGTAGAGATATTATTGGGAAAATGTAAATAATGTAGAGTCCGCGTGTAATTATGTAAAATGTCGTAAACAGCAAGGCAAAAAGATGCATAAATATAATATAGATAAACGTAACGACCTTCCCGATAACTCTTGTCGGTTGATTTGGTAATTCCATACACGAGCCGAAGAGCGACAACTGTACTCGCAAAACATGAATAAAAACGGCTAGACAGAATTTTCCGGACTTCACCGAGGCATCTGCAGTGTAGCGATTTTGCAAACGTTCTTCTTCTGCGCGGAAGTCGTTCGGATTCTTTGTTCTGAAACCCGCTTTCGTATTCGTTCGTGCGACGCGTGACGGTGCAGTTGTATGTACATGCATATCACACGTCTGTGCGCGAGGAAGAAGTTGCGTAATGTATAACGGTAAAAACGCCGTATGGCAGCAATAAGGAGTTGACTGTTTCCTCCACTGGCGCATTCTACCATTCGTACATTACAAGTCTAATAATTAATATATAAAAAATCCTGCAATCTACGCAATCCATCATTTGAAACACTTAGACGGGATTTTATAAGATTGGATCATTTCAAAAATATTTAAAAAATACAAAAATTTTTTAAATTCAATTAAAAAGTTTAATTATAAATTGTTACATCATTAATAAAATGTAAGAAAATAAACGATATACACAATTACATTATTATTAACATTATTTACTAAATTTATTTATAAGTTATATTTATTAAATATATTATTAAGTAAAAAAGAATAGTAGATCTCTAAAAATTTTCTCCAATCTCTAAGGGGATTATTAGAACTCTTGCGAGAGAAAAAAATGTCAGTTATAAAAATAATTGAATATTTACTAAACAGAGAGAAATTATTACGTAAAGATTATTTTAAATTTTATCTGATATAAGTATTTTGAAAAAAAATTGTAAATGCATTGTAAAATCTGTCGAATTTGAATGTAAGCAAATCGAACAACATATATCATCTATATTGTAGCTTTAAGTATCTCTTTTTTCATATCTAATTGTAAATTAAGCATCCGAAATGCCAGAGGCAGTGCCAATATTCTGCGCCGCGTTTTGCACAAACCGCGTTATCGCCCTAAAGAGGGCCCTAAACGAAACCCGATAAAACGACAATATTACTCACGTAACTGGCACTATAAAGCCTGATAATGGGGGCCGATCGATTTCCGCGTCGGTTTACATCGCATCTAGTTACTCTTTATATGTATGTATGTTTCATATGAGTATCTGGCTTTACCACGAGTGATATTGCGTCTTAAAAAAAAACGTCTAGAAAAAAGGACAAATATCTAAAACAAGATCCTTTCATATGGCACAAGGTTTCCAGAACGAGCGTGTGCGAATGTGTATGAAAAGTTCTCGTAAAAAAAAAAACCGACAAACACGTCACTCTTATAATATGTATCTGCAAACCTCACACGGTATATTATTTCTTCCTTGCACGATAGATTCGCTAACCTTTTACAACATTACGGCTGTATACTTATACGTCTCCGTGCAGTGCACTTTCACCAATTGTGCTTGATTGCAACACGCCTAACCGCGCATTGCGATATAATGTAAATTTTATGACAGCATTATATTATAAAAATTTCCAGGAGTGCTAGTACAAATTTTATTATAGCTATACCAGATGGCAATTTCAAGCAGTTTCAGAATAAAAAGTTGTAACCTTGAATTACCGCCGACAAACGATGGCCAATGTCGGATGGTCCGAAAAAAACAGTCATTGAAATATTTACCGGAAGTATTGTGATACTTTGACGTTAATAATATCTGATATCAGAACCTAATAAGTAGCACATGTTAACATACGTTTTTTAAATGGCTTATAAAACATTAGACACGTTTAAGATCAAATTAAATACAAACAATTGTAAATTATAGAATTGTGCAATTATATTATTTATATAATATATATTCTACTCGTTGCGGAATAATTCCTTGCAATCTATCTATTGTTTAAGAAAATGTGAAACGTATATGAACCAACACGTGCTACCTGAGAAAAGTGTGACCAAATACAAAAATTGTAACTATATAAAGTAGTATAATACAGAGAAGTAAATATCAATTGTCAACTTTTATGCAGAAATTTTCGTATTTAATCACTCTTCTCTCTCTTTTAATTATATATATATATATATCTGTACATTTATATTTATACACACAAGACATACATATTTAATTGAAGTTCATGCAGCGGAAGGTCATCAAGATTATATCGATGAGACGAAAATCAACACAGCGAAACTTAACACACACTACAGATTCGTCAGAGAAACTTTCGCAAGACTTTCTCACTTCACATTACACGCTGTATAGTTCGTCAGAACGAGCAGGCGGTTTCGGTGGATCGTCAGGAGCACAGGAGAACCGGGAATCACCGCGGGAACGCGGTGCACGTTCGGTCGCGGAGATTGCTCGCGGCCCGGCGATTATTGCTGGCGCATCGCCGTCGGGAATTCCCGCGTCGCGTTCCGCGGATATGCCGCGCGTGCCGATTTAACCGCTATACGTGCGCGTCAACCGTCGAGGAAACGCCGCGCCGCTCGAAACGTCCGCCGCGAAAGCCGGCGCGATGCCCAGGTAGAAGGATTTTTCCCACCACCCGATCATCCCCGCCACTCTGGCTGGGCCACGTGACTTACCGCGACAAACTCAAGCTTTAGTATACAATTAGTTAGATGAGAAGTTTAGAATTAATTTTTCCTTTACTTCGGCCGTATCTTTTCTTACTATATCTGTCGTATTTTCTGTTAAACTTTTTAAGCTCTTTAAAGAAAATTAAATGAGAACAAGTGCAATTTATAGAATTGAGCAATTACACTTACATAATATTCTATTTGTTGTGGAATACTGGGATTGTTCTTGCAACAACAAATGCTATAGCTGCAGGTGTTTCCGCGATACATCAATATAGCAAGCGGAGTAATTTAATAAATTTCTTATCACAAGCATCTCTAAATTATTCAGTCAACTGAACTTGAAGATAATTTAAAAATATTCATATTACTTGTTTCATATTTCATTCTTTTTCAAAGTATTGATTGTCAGAATGATGACCTCTCCACCAACCTCTCGGTTGAATATGTCGCTACTGACAGTCACGTGACCGCTAGACGCACTACCACGCATGCGTGAAAAATCGAGTTTGGCATCAATGCCGGCGATTCGAAACGTCCAGAGGACGCGACACGGCCGGTCGACACGACTGAAAGTCGCCGCTCGATGAATACAATGACAGATTGACCGTGCTGGTTCAGGGCCGTGACTAGAACGAAGTCGGTTGTACGAATCAAAAGTAATTGCCTGTCCACGCGGCTTGGCGAATCAATAAAAGAGCATTATCGTCTTCAAACATTAACCGCGATTGCCATCTGTATTGTACTTACCTGTGTCAGTCACATGGAATTATGTTAATCCATGTAAAACACAGTCGTCAATTGAATAATTGTACGACAATTGAAATAAGCTATACGAAGCACTATAAAACTATAATAAACTATAATAATTGACGTAGGATTTGTAACATTAATCATTAATATAGGGCGTTGTATTATTCCGTGTAACTCGTTAAATCTTGATTCGTCTCTTATTTAGGATAAGCTTGTTTATTGTATACTCGCGATATTTTGGTATGTATCCTTAATAGCTGTTTAGTCTCTTTATAACCCCGCTGCATTTACTTTGTTATCCTTTATTACTCCTTTCCGTTTAACTAATATTAATCAATAATTTTTTAAATCGTTTGTAAGATGTTTTTGTAAATTCTGTTCACCAAGTTTTTCAAAAGTGATGGTTTCTCGGGAATAGAATTATCCTCTTTTAAAGAGATTTATTTATTCGTTTGATTTTATCACTTCGCAAAATTATTTAGATATCATAAAATTAAAATTGTCTTTTTTTGCGTTGTTTTGGAGAATTATAATTAATTAATTAAATGAAAAACAATGCAATGCTGTGGAAAAAACAACGAAGTTTTAAATTGCTTTTCTTTGAAAATACATATATTTCAATATTTCTCTTCTCTGTTAATAATGTCAGACTCTGTACTTTGTTGTATTTTGCCAAGAAACTTCATTGCCGACTAAGTATTTACTGTATATGTTTTAACATTATCGACTGTTTCAATAATACTTATATCTGACCGCGTTCAAGTTAAAACTGATGAAACTGCTACAGTCTGCTAGCCGAGCGATCGAATATGATTGTGATCGAATCTATACGTAAAAACCAATCAACGTATTCAATCATTCAGCGAACGGATTATAAATTCCTTTGTCGGTTTGGACGCGCCCAAAATGATTGCTATATGAATATTCAATCTACTAAGTCATCAAATTTTTTATTACGGATTATTTATACAGATTTCGGGATCTTTGTCTGTCTCTTTATCAAAGGATAAAAATTTAAAATTACGAAATAATGACGAAAAAATTCTTTAAAATTTTTCAAAATCTTATATTAAAAACTTTGTTAAATTAAGGTTTTTTTTATTTAAATGCGTTTTTACATTATACAAGATGTTCCCGGGTTATACCAACGCCAAATTTAAAATACGAATTTAGAATTTAGGACCTCAAAACAAAAATTTTGCTTTGAAGTTTACATACTCTCAAACGTTTTGAGATATTGACTTCTTAAGTTACAGAACTAATAGGAATGAATAAACTGAAATATCTCTTGATTTTTTTTTATATGGGATACACTGAAGCAAATAGTAGTATAAAGTGCTTGTTAATGATCTTCAATCATTAATCAACGGAGGATAAGCGTGCGAAGGGGGCGATGAAATTACAGACGCATCAGTCAGAGCCACTCGTTCTCTTATCGATAAATGCTTGTCTCAGGGCTGGAGGCTATCATTTTGAACAGTACATTTCATAATTACATTTTGATTGTAAGACAATAAAGAGAATAAATGTAGATTATTTCTACATTATTCATTCCTATGTAGTTTGACTTAAGAAATCAATATCTCTTAAACGAAGCAGTTGCAAGTAAACTTTCAGAGGAGAATTTTGTTTGTATTGAAGTCCTAAGTTTATATTTTAATTTTGGTAATTTAACCGAGAACACCCTATATAGTAAAAGTTTTAGAAAAAAAGGTATTTAAGAATGTAACAAAAATGTATAACAATTTTTTCTTCGCGGACATGTGGGATGTAAATTAAATACAGTAAAAATAAAAAGGTCAAAATAATCTTTAAAATGTATGAGATACGTTTAATTGTGAAAATTTATTCAGTTATCCAATTAATATTTTATGAGCCTACCGCGAGCGATATCAAAATCATCAGGCATATCGTTTCGAATAACTGAGAAAAAATATTATGAAATTTTACTCGTGGATAACTCGTATAATAAAATCCGAAAACACTTGGCTTTTGTATATTTATTTATATGCTATAATTATAGTATAGCGTACTGTCGAAACTTGAATCTTTTCTTTTAGATGCGTTTAATTTCAAATACTTATATTTGGCCACGTAATATTTTATAAACAAAATTTCTATGCAAAAACTAAAACTGTTCCACGTTCAAAGAAACTTATGGACAACATAGTAATTTAAACGGAATTTTTCGATTTCGACAGAGACGCGATCGAAAATT